GGAATTAGGAACACAAGGTTATGACCAAACACCATGGCTTAATCATACTTTAGCTAGAATCAATCCGTTAATCTAATTGAACTTGGGAACTTATTTGCTTGAGTTATTTCATTCTTTCTTGTTTTATTTATTTTCTTTTTTCATTTCTATTTTGTGTAGGGGAAACAAATTGGATCATTCAATCACCAATCCTCGTGGGATCGACCTCGCACTTACATATGCTATACTACCAAACGGCTCGTGCACTTGCGAGTATCACAAGTTGAGGATGCAGTTGAAACCATTTTGGTGCAGCTGAATCGAAGCAACAGCAGATGATCAAACTCAAGGAAACACCAAAAGAATTGTCGGCACCTAGCAAGTTCCATCCTCTGTTCTACTTAACAATGATCATATTTGAACCTGTATATAGATATTTGACTCTTAGACTCATATTCAATCATTTTGGTCATGCAATTAGTGGTTACATGCCCCAGAATATGTTATGGATGGACTGTATGCCGTAAAATCAGATGTCTTCAGCTTCAGAGTAGTTTTGCTTGAGATTGTAACAGGAAGAAGAAACTTTTTAGGCTTTCATCCCACAGAATATGCACCTACTCTTATAGGCTATGTAAGGTTAAATCATACAGAAGTTTCTCAAACTAGCTAATACATGTAGCTATCAATGTAAGAGTTTTTACTTACATGCTTGAAATGTATTAATTGCAGGCTTGGCACTTATGGAACGAAACGAAGGGGTTGGAGTTGATGGATCCGTTGTTGAAAGACTCATGCAGTCCAAATGAATTTTTGAGATACATCCATATTGGATTATTGTGTGTTGAAGAAGATGCCAACAAGAGGCCAACCATGTCATCGGTTGTTGTAATGTTAAACGGTGAAGCCACTAGTCTTGCCAGACCTGAGAGACCAGCCTTCTTTACAGGAAGATGTATTGAACATCATGATCAAGAAAATGCTCCAAATTGCTCAGCCAATGGTTTGACGATTTCTATTGATGTTCCCCGTTGAGACGGATGACAATTTTCACACATTGTGAAGTTGGCCCTAAGATAATTACTAAAAAGAAGCCCAACGGCACTTCACAAATTGTAAACAGGAAGAAGGGACAAGGCCAGAAATAATAATATAACAAAACAAGTATCCAAAGCAAATGAACCAAAGTAGGCCCAACACATACCGAACAACAAAACAAGACCTGGCAGAAAAAAAGAAGACCGAGATGCATAAGTAACTACTGTTAATCGCCTGGGACGAAAATGCCCAAATTACACGTTGTGAAAGAATGTGATGAGATATTGTGGAAAATTCCGTTGAACTGGCTGGGGAAAAATATAATCCCTTTTGGCACTTCCGTCTCCCTCGTCTTCATTTCGTCTCCTTCCTTTTCTTTTCCTTTTCTTCAACGAATTTGACTGAGATGGTGACAGGTGAAGTGAAATATACAGGTCAACACACGGAAACATTAAAAAGTCGTTTGACTTTTAGAGTCGTGCCGTGACTTTTCTGAAACTTTCACATATAATATGTTCATGCTAAAACCTGAGAAGTTAGAATATGAAAATATAAGAGAATATGAAAATGAGAGAAGATAATTTTCTGGGTTTTCAACTTGTATCAGTTTTTATTGATTACAACATATTTATACAAGTCCTACAACTACAAACAAGAAAACAAGGTTTCCATGAAACAAGGAAACAATGTTCCCATAAAACATGGAAATAATGTTCCCATAAAACAAGGAAACATAGCTTTAGCTAACACTCCCCCTCAAGTTGATGCATAGATGTCATCAATGACCAACTTGCCAAGAGAGAGACTGTCGTTATTAATATTTCTGCATCAAGCTTCTTCTTAATAGAATGTCGATCCACTTCAACATGCCCCCTCACGTGGGACCACTGCATAGTGGGCCACATGTGGAGCAAAGGCCACATCGAAGTTAATCATTTCGGTCTGTCGGTGGCAACACCAAATCCAAGTGCAGCCGGTTGGTCGGTAGATCACATAAACCATGCGAACAAGGTAAAGGCAAAGCAAAGAACACAGAAACCCTGTGAACACGGTAAGAACATAGAAACCCTGTGAACACGACAAAGGTAAGGTAAAGGACACAAAAACCCTGTGAACACGGCAAAGGACACAGAAAACCAGCAAAGGCATGAGCAACAATATTGGCACCATAACACGCAGGAGCAACAATATTGTCCCCAACAAGAGACTTAACAGGCAGGAGCAACAATACTGTCCCCAGCAAGAGACATAACAGGCAGGAGTAATAACATTGTCCCCAGCAAGAGACATAACAGGCAGAAGTAACAACACTGGCCAGCAACAAGAGTCATAACAGGCAGGAGCAACAACATTGTCCCCAGCAAGAGACATAACAGGCAGGAGCAACAATACTATCCCCAGCAAGAGACATAACAAGCATCATCAACAGTAATCAACACTGTCCGCAGCAAGAGCAACACAGGGCACTGGCACCAGCAAGAGCAATATAAGGCACTGGCACAAGCAAGACAAGGCAGGGCAAACAACTGTGGCAGAAACAACATCATAGACAACTTCTCTTCACTCCCCCTCTTCCCCTGAAGAGAAGGGGTCGATGGAGCCATATGATCAGTGGTACTTGAGAAACATGCACGGACAATAAGCCATTGCAGATAGGTAGGTAAATTGCAGTGGAATATATGAGCAGCGGTGTCACTCCCCCTCAAATCCGACGATGTATGAAAGTCGAGATTTGGAGAAAGTAACACCCAAATAAATAGAGAGTAAGAAGACACGAGTGACTCTGGGCAGACACGGGTGAAGAGAAGATAACAAAAAATAAAAATAAAAATAAGATGAAACAAATGGAAGAAAGAGTGCACGTGGAGATGAGAACAAAGTCCGAGAAAGAAAATTGTGGCCTTCAATAATATAAGGAACATAAAGGATGAACACAATTTGAACAAATAAAAAGGAAGTGAAACACATTATCAAATGGGAAAAGGCCATACATGCGTGCACAGAGAGAGAGCATGCGATTAAGCATGAGAGGAAAATAAATAGGAGCATGAGGTTAAGCATATAAGGGAGCCAACATAGAAAAAAAGATGATAAAAGATACCAATGGAAAAATAGACAGAGAAGGAAAAAAAAGGGCGTGAGACAAACAGGAAAAAGAAGAAGAGCACAAGAGATAGCACTTTGTTGGTGAGAAAAGAAACCATAAAAAAGAATAAGAATAAGAAAACACAAGATGTTGTCGTGAGAGAGAAGTCATATTGAAGAGGAGAAAAAGGTAGACAAGGTGAAAAAAAAGAAAAACACCCTCGGGCCAATAAGTTGGCAAAAGCAAATAAAATCAATAAAGAAAAGAAGATCAAATTGGAAGAAGAGAGGATAAGGAAAAAATAATAATTAAAAGGAGCAACAACCCAAATTGGAAGAAGATAGGATAAAAAATAATTAAAGGGAGCAACCATCATGTGGATAGGTTGTTGAAAAAGGAGATAAAATAAAATAAAATAAAACAAATGAGAGACCCACCGAAAAAGAAATAAGAGTTGGGTAGTGGAGAGTGAATAAAGAGAGACAGCGTGGGAAAAATAAAGAAGAGAAATAGAAGGGTGCCAGGAGCACATGACAGGGAAGGACTAACAAATATTAAAAAGTAACTTTTGTGACATCAATGGTCCTTAAGGTTATATGCAACACATCAAAATGATCTATGCCGTCAACTTTCGTTAAATTTTCTGTTAAGAAGCTGACATGGTATATATGTAGGTCACACATCCAATAATATATAGCCATGTGGCTTTAAATAAAATATAAATATATTTAAAAAGAAAATTAAATTTTAAAAAAGATAAGATTAAAAAAAAAATTAATTTTTTTTTTAAAACTCTCTCTCGCCCTCATCCTTCCAACCTGTCGCCCCACTATGCCAATCCACCTCCCTCCACCCCCTCTCTTTCTCTCTCTCATAAGATTCGGGGCTGATGGTCAGCCAAGCAAAGAACCGAGTTGGGATTTGATGGAAGAACATAATCGGTTTCAATGGTTGGGGAAGGCATAGGGGTCCAAATCTGAAATGGGTTTGGCTCTTTGTTATGAACTTGAAATGGTTTGTAGTTGCTGTGAAGGTAGAAGTTGAACTGGTGTTTACCTGTAGCTACACATGAGTTAGGCATATGATTCATTAACCCAGATGCAGGTGTTTGTGCCTAATAAATCACGGCCATGAACTGACCGAAGGAATCCCTTTTTCGCGGCCCAAGCACTTCCTCGAGAAGCTAAAGCGCAGCGTTTCGCCAAGGTGTTTTGCCTTCCTGAAAACAAAAGAAAAGTTGCTAAGGCATGATCATCTCGGCCTCGATTGTAAGCCGAGGCCGAGGCCGAGCAGAATCACGGCCAGAGATATCAGAATCAAATCATCACGTGATAGCAGGGTCCCATGCTTTATTTAATGAAGTAATGCCTCTGTTTATTGCAGCAAACCCACTGGCCACGAATAAGCATTTAATGCATGAGGGAAGGTGGGAAGTGACTGAAGTCAGGGTTTGGCGACAGGAAACAGAGTGATTAGACGTGGACATTCTCACAAGAATTCTTGCAGCTTGAGAGATTAGGTCACCAGCTATCAGAACAATAAATGCGTCTCCACGGCCAGAAGCGCAGAACCCACGATCAGGGCGGCGGCCGAGATTCACCAGGGGATCGCACCACCATACTTCACGATCCCAAATGTTGATTGGACTACCCACTTGCTCTAATCAAGCTCCACTATGCAGGATTTCAGCCTCGATTACTCCTCCAAGAAACTCCTATAAATACAGGGCTCAAAATACATTCAAAGGGTTCAAACACCAAACCAAAGCCTCCCACGGAGCAACTTATATTTTCCTGTAATGCACTTTCAATATCTTTACTTGTTTTCCTAGGAGTAGTGTTAGACTGTAAGGAAAATTCATTCATCAATATATCATACGACCCTTGATTTTCAAGGCGCCGGAGCATCATCCTTGTTATTCGCTCATTCACCCCATATATCATACATATCATACAACCGTCGCTCCCTGAGCAGCGCGCCGGAGCACCGCCCAAAACCCACCAACACCATCACTAAACGGCCTTGTAGCTCAGGCCGTGAACCTAACAGCCGAGATTAGTTCCTCTCTCGGCTACAATCGTTTGATTAGAAGACGAGTCCAAACAGGCGCACCACTTAACCATCCTATCCACATCAACCATCTCGACGCACGGTAGACCGTGCTGGCACGCCCGCGCACAAACGCACCGCACCCAAAAGCAGGAAGCCGCCTGTCAACGCATATCCCCTCGGCCCGGAAACCCAGGCCGTGAGATCTGCGCGGTAGACAGCAGGTACTCAACATGAACTGTGGATACTAACAATGAAATCTTGTATGTTGGGCTCAACTATGTAGCCATAGTAATGAGAAATGGTAACAAAGTTTACAATTAATTTCTTCAAGGCATGTAAGATAGGGCCGCCAGTGCTGCTCTAGAAGGAGAGATAGAACAGAGGGAGAAGATGGCAGAGGAGGAGACGGAAGGGGAGGGCTGGCAGCAGGTTTTGATATATTTAAAATCAAGTTTTAATATTCTTTTTTTTTATATAAAAATTTAATTTAATTTTTAAATATATTAAAGCCACGTGGCTATATATTATTGGATGTGTATGCCATGTCAGCTTCTTAAAAGAAAATTTAACGGAAGTTGACGGCAGAGACCATTTTGATGTGTTTAGTATAACCTTAAGGACCATTAATGTCACAAAAAAACGTTAAGGACGAAAGACGATAATTTCGCAAACCTCAGGGACCATTTGTGATAAAAAGCCTAATAATAATAATCAATATCAATATGATAATATCTCCCACTCTCTCCCCAAACAAAACTGGCCTCACTCCCGTCTCCATTTTCGTCTGTTTCAAACTTTTGTTTTTTGTCTTTTATTTCATTGTCTCTTCTTCCTCTTCTTTTTCTATGAATTTGATGATAAAGACAACCACCACTGAAATATAAACAACGAGGTAGTAGCTATCTTAATTAGCTAAGCATAGGGGGCTGGGCTGGGCTGGCTTCATCAACATCAAAATGCTTCCCATGAATAATCTGATGCTTGTTTCGATTCTCTCCTCCATATTTGTTGTTACTCTGCTCAGCTTTCCCAGCCCAGCTGAAGCTGTTTACCTCGCCCATTTCTGCCCAAACACCACCACCTTCACCCCAAACTCCACATTCCAGTCCAACCTCAACCGCCTTCTCTCCACCCTCTCCTCCAACGCCACCAGCCCCTCCGGCTTCTACAACGCCACCGCCTACTCCTCCTCCTCAAACGACGCCATCTACGGCCTCTTCCTCTGCCGGGGCGACCTCGCCGCCACCGATGCTTGCAAATCCTGCGTCTCCACCGCAACCTCCGAGGTCGTCCAACGCTGCCCCACCAAGAAGCAGGTTGTAATCTGGTACGACGACTGCATGTTACGCTACTCCAACGAGTCCTTCTTCTCCACTGCCGCCGAGTCACCTCGCCTGTTCATGTGGAACACGCAGAATGTAAGTGGTTATGTAACGGACCAAAACCGCTTCAACCAACTACTGGCAACGGGCGTGAGTGAGATAGCCGATGAAGCTTCCAATAACGATCGCAAGTTTGCGACGAAAGAAGCCAAGGTTTCAGAGTCGACTTCGCTGTACATGCTTGCTCAGTGCACGCAGGACCTCTCCTCTGGTGATTGCAATTTGTGTCTTCTAGGAGCCATGACAGAAGTTCCTAGAAGAAAAGCCGGGGGACGAGCTCTGTATCCCAGTTGCAATATCAGGTTTGAAGTCTATCCCTTCTACCTCCACAATTCCCCCGAAGCATCGCCGTCTCCACGAGATCGTGCTGTTTCTCCTCCTCCGACTAAAGGTAAAGTGCCTCCCACTATCTAGGCGCCAAAAAGATATCAAATGTATTAAGAATCAGCTTGATTAATTTAATAACAATTTCTACCATCCAACTTCTAATTGATTCTCATCTCACTAAATTAAACTAGTTTTGAATTTTGGCTTGTAAAAAAATAATCTTAATTTGATGATCTAATTATTTCAACCAGTGGAGATTAATAATAGTTCCAACCTTTTAATTCTAATCGTGAGAAAATTGCGAAGGGTTGGAATTTTAATTTCACAAAAAGTTTTTACGAGTATAATTGTTAATACAGGAGGAAGAAGCAGACTTTCACCTTCCATATTCATTGGCGGCAGCATTGCTGTCTCTGTGGTACTTGTTGCTTCGGGCTACTTCTTCGTACGCAGAAGATCAATAAGAAAGAAGTACAATATTCCCCCAAATCAAGAAAACGGTACAGTCTAGATAACCTAATTATTCTGTCACCTAGTTTTTTGAGTTCTTTTCATGTAATATATGGATAACCTCATTATTTGCTTGCTTAGGTAGGAATGACTATGGTACAAAGAGTGTTGAGTCCTTACAATTTGACTTGGGAACTATTGAAACTGCCACAAACAAGTTTTCTGAGAATAACAAGTTAGGTGAAGGCGGATTTGGTGTAGTTTTCAAGGTACGAAGATATGAATTTATTTACACACAGTGCTCACTGCTTTGTTCAATTTGTACAACTCTAAACTTAACTTAATTAAGATGACAATTAACATGTGAGTGGATAAAGTATATCTCATATACCTTTTCAGGGAACACTTGCTAATGGACAGGAAATAGCAGTGAAGAGGTTGTCAAAGAGCTCCAAACAAGGTGTACAAGAATTTAAGAATGAGGTTGCATTGGTAGCCAAACTTCAACACAGAAATCTTGTCAGGCTTCTAGGATTTTGTTTGGAAGGAGAAGAAACCATACTTGTCTATGAATATGTGCCAAACAAAAGTCTTGATTGTTTTCTTTTTGGTATGAGTACATCATTTAATTTAGAAATCTTTTCAAAATCTAACATGAGTATAATAATCATACTTGTCTTTACTGAATTGATGCAGAATCGAAAAAACGAGAACAGCTAGATTGGTGGAGCCGCTGCATGATAACAGGAGGAATTGCTCGAGGAATTCTATATCTTCATGAAGATTCAAGGCTCAGAGTTATACATCGTGATTTGAAAGCGAGCAATATCTTGTTAGATGGCAATATGTATCCAAAAATATCAGATTTTGGTATGGCAAGAATGTTCGGAGTTGATGATCAAACTCAAGGAATCACCAAAAGAATTGTAGGCACCTAGTAAGTTTCATCCTCTATCTTATTAATAATCTTAAATCGTATTTCGACTTTTAAGTTAACCTACATGTAAATCATTTTGGCCTTGCAATTAGCGGTTACATGGCTCCAGAATATGCTATGGAGGGATCATATTCTGTAAAATCTGATGTCTTTAGCTTCGGAGTACTTTTGCTTGAGATCATAACGGGGAGAAGGAACTTTTTAGGCTTTCATCCAACAAATTGTGCACCTACTCTTATAGGCTATGTAAGGTCTTTATTTGGGTTAAATTAATAAAAGTTTCTCAAACTAATTAATGTAGCTATATCATTTTGAGCTTACATCCTTGAAAGGTATAAATTGCAGGCTTGGCAATTATGGAATGAAGGGAAAGGGTTAGAGTTGATGGATCCGTTGTTGAAAGACTCATGCAGTAGTCCAAATGAATTTTTGAGATACGTACATATTGGATTATTGTGTGTTCAAGCAGATGCAAACTATAGGCCAACTATGTCATCGGTTGTTCCAATGTTAAAAAGTGAAACTATTAGTCTTTCCAGACCTGAGAAACCAGCCTTCTTTACAGGAAGAATATCTACTGATCACCATGATGATGAAGTATGTGCTCATGATTGTTCAGGCAGTGGTTTGACGATTTCTAATGATTTGCTCCGTTGAGGAATTAAGTAAAAATATATTTTGTTTTATTGGGAAAATGTTAACCCATGCACTCTCCCTCTCTAATCTCAATTTCTAGTACAGAAATTTTTATTTTACATATAGTAGAAGGATGATTTGAGGGTTTTACTTTTACATATGAATCACACTCAGAATAACTAGTTTCTTAGAACACGTTTCCTTAGGGTCTGGGTTGAATCTTCTTCATCTGTTTGTGGGTCACTACACAGGCACCAAGTCAATACCCCTAAATTCAGGAAGATGCTTAATAATAAGGGAGTTTCACTAAAATACATGTCTAGGATTGGGTATTTTTATAAATATCTATAATAATAATGATGGTTACCCACAAAAATTATTATTATTAAGCATCTTCCTGAATGGGGTCAGCTGAGCTGAGCTGGTTATATGAATCAATGTGGACTCTTGCCAACATGTACGTGGCTTCTTCACTTCTTCGCTTGGTTTGAAAAGTTCAAATCCATGTTGTTAGTTGTCTAAAAGTCTAAAACCCTCTGTAAAAGTCTAAGTATACTCTCAAGATTTGTAAATAATGAAAAATTAAGTATACTATCAAGTTTGTGTGGCTGAAAATTCCACCAGAGTCTCCACCTCCTCTGTCGCCAATTAAACAATGACTTTTCATGATCCAATATTCACTGAGGTCTTGTTCAATCTTTCCTTCAATAGAGATCAGTGATCAGCGATCATCAAAAAGAAAAAAAAAATGCCTCCCATCAATAATCCTCCGATCCTTTGTTTGGTTCTCTCCATAATTGTTATTGCTCTGCTCAGCTTTCCCAGCCCAGCTGTAGCTCATTACCTCTCCCACATCTGCCCAAACACCACCACCTTCACCCCAAACTCCACCTTCCAATCCAACCTCAACCGCCTCCTCTCCACCCTCTCCTCCAACGCCACCCGATCCTCCGGCTTCTACAACGCCACCGCCTCCTCTCGCACCCCAACCGCCTACTCCTCCTCCTCCTCAAAAGACGCTGTCTACGGCCTATTCCTCTGCCGTGGCGACGTCTCCGCCACCGACGCTTGCAAATCCTGCGTCTCTACCGCAACCTCCGAGGTCGTCCAGCGCTGCCCCACCGAGAAACAGGTCGTGATCTGGTACGACGACTGCATGCTACGCTACTCCAACGTGTCCTCCTTCTCCACCGTCGCCGACCCAATTGACGGATACATGGAGAATGAAATTGATTATCTGTACATGGCGAACACGCAGAATCTAAGTAGATATGTAACGGACCAAAACCACTTCAACCAGGTGCTGGCAGCGAGTGTAAGTGAGCTAGCTACTGAGGCTTCTAATAACAATCGCAAGTTTGCGACGAAAGAAACCAACGTTTCAGAGTTGACTTCACTGTACATGCTTGGGCAGTGCACGCAGGACCTCCCCTCTGGAGATTGCAATTGGTGTCTTCTAGAAGCCATAGCACAAGTTCCTAGAACAACTGCCGGCGGACGAGTTCTGCATCCCAGTTGCAATCTGAGGTTTGAAGTCTACCCCTTCTACGACGTCCACTACTCCACCGCACCAGAACCTGCTCTTTCTCCTCCTCCCCCCCCCCCACCCCCACCCCCACCAGGATCCATCAAGGCCAGGCCTAAAGGTAAAGTCCCTCGCACTATCTTTTTTTTTTTGGGCCAACCTCGCACTATCTAATTGAGTCTCACTAAGTTCAAGTAGTTTCGAATTTTGCCTTGTAAAATAAAATTTAAAAAAAAAAAAAATTCAACCAAAAGATCTTAATTGAAATTTAATAATGGTTCTAACCTTTTAATTGTTCATACAGGAGGAAGAAGCAGACTTTCACCTTCCATATTCATTGGCGGCAGCATTGCTTTCTCTGTGGTACTTGTTGCTTCGGGCTACTTCTTCGTACGCAGAAGATCAATAAGAAAGAAGTACAATACTGCCCCAAATCAAGAAAACGGTATAATCTAGATAACCTCATTATTCTGTCACCAAGTTTTTCGAGTTCTTTTCATGTAATATATGGATAACCTCATTATTTGCTTGCTTAGGTAGGAATGACTATGATACAGAGAGTGTTGAGTCCTTACAATTTGACTTGGGAACTATTGAAACTGCCACAAACAAGTTTTCTGAGAATAACAAGTTAGGTGAAGGCGGATTTGGTGTAGTTTTCAAGGTACGAAGATATGAATTTATTTACACACAGTGCTCACTGCTTTGTTCAATTTGTACAACTCTAAACTTAATTAAGATGACAATTAACATGTGAGTGGATAAAGTATACCTCATATACCTTTTCAGGGAACACTTGCTAATGGACAGGAAATAGCAGTGAAGAGGTTGTCGAAGAGCTCCAAACAAGGTGTACAAGAATTTAAGAATGAGGTTGCATTGGTAGCCAAACTTCAACACAGAAATCTTGTCAGGCTTCTAGGATTTTGTTTGGAAGGAGAAGAAACCATACTCATCTATGAATATGTGCCAAACAAAAGTCTTGATTGTTTTCTTTTTGGTATGAATACATCATTTTAATAAAAACACTTTGCAATTTCTAACTCAAGTACAACAATATTTGTGCTTGTATTTACCGAATTGATGTGAGTTTGCAGAATACAAAAAACGAGAACAACTAGATTGGTCGCACCGTTGCATGATAATAGGAGGAATTGCTCGAGGAATTCTGTATCTTCATGAAGATTCAAGGCTTAGAGTTATACATCGTGATTTGAAAGCAAGCAATATCTTGTTAGATGGCAATATGAATTCAAAAATTTCAGATTTTGGTATGGCAAGAATGTTCGGAGTTGATGATCAAACTCAAGGAAACACCAAAAGAATTGTAGGCACTTAGTAAGTTTCATCCTCTATCTTATTAATAATCTTAAATCTTATTTCAACTTTTAAGTTAACCTACATGTAAATCATTTTGGCCTTGCAATTAGTGGTTACATGGCTCCAGAATATGCTATGGAGGGATTGTATTCTGTAAAATCTGATGTCTTTAGCTTCGGAGTACTTTTGCTTGAGATCATAACGGGGAGAAGGAACTTTTCAGGGTTTCATCCCACAAAATGTGCACCTACTCTTATAGGCTATGTAAGGTTAAATTATACAAAAGTTTCTCAAACTAATACGTGTAGCTTGATGTAAAAGTTTTACTTACATCTTTAAAATGTATTAATTGCAGGCTTGGCAATTGTGGAACGAAACGAAAGGGTTGGAGTTGATGGATCCGTTGTTGAAAGACTCATGCAGCCCAAATGAATGTTTGAGATACATCCATATCGGATTATTGTGTGTTCAGGAAGATGCAAACAATAGGCCAACCATGTCATCAGTTGTTCTAATGCTAAAAAGTGAAACTATTAGTCTATCCAGACCTGAGAAACCAGCCTTCTTTACAGGAAGATCTACTGATCACCATGATCAAGTAAGGACTCATGATTGCTCTGCCAATGGTTTGACGATTTCTAATGATTTGGCCCGCTGACGAGGATGACAATCAAGTAAACATCATTGGATTCCATTAATTAAAGGCTTAAGCTATAAGCTTATATTTTGTTTCACATCAGCACAAGTCATTTTATTGGGAAAATGTTAATCATACACTCTCCCTAATCTCAATTTTATTTACACTGAGATCTACTAATTTCTTAGTACTTAATACGTTTGCTAGCCAATTTGGGATCTAACCACCACAATTGGTGCATATCGCTCTCAAATATCTGGAAAATTTATCATCAAATTCCCGTTGAGTCTGCAGATTAACATGAATGGATCCCTAACTAAATTGGGATAATTATATCCTATCAGCTTGGCCTCCCGCATGAGAAAAATTCCTGCTTATATGCTGCTGGCATGGGCAAAAAGTGACACTATGAAGTTGGCCTGTGATAAAATGTTAGAAAAGATTACATTTCTTTTCTGGGTATACGTAGCTGTGGCAACGACTTATCATCCTACAGTGTAGCGGTCCCTTTAAATTCTGGCTCACAAGGCACAAATTCAGTCTATACGAAATTGACAACCGGCTTAATTAGGTAGTTGTGGTCACATCACTGTCCTGTATTGATGACTGGAGTTATGGATACATCTTTATTTTTCTGGTCATCTTCGTATGTCTCTACGTACGAGAATATGTAAAATGAAATACGTACAATTTGTGGAATATTCTTAATAATGACGGCCACCATTGCGACGGCGACATGAAGTGGTGGCAGGAAGGAAATGGGGTCAGCTCAGCTCAGCTGGTTATATGAATCAATCAATGTGTGAGTGTAATATAACAATGACTCTTGCCATATTCTCGGTCAGTTGTATAAAACCATTCTTCTATTATATCAAGATGTAAATTATTGGAAAATTATTGAGGAAAAAGAAAAGGCAAGAACACAGTTGGGCTGAAAATTCTACCCCTTCCGTCTTCAATTCATCAATGACTTTTCAATAACTTTACTTTCCACAGGATTCAACATCACAGGGGCTTCTTCACACCTACCTTCAATAAAGGACAAAAGTTGACTTCGACCTTAACACTCCTGTCAATTTATGAGTACATCACAATCCTGAATTGATGTGAGTTTGTAGAATCCAAAAAACGCGAACAACTAGATTGGTCGAGCCGCTGCATGATAACAGGAGGAATTGCTCGAGGAATTCTATATCTTCATGAAGATTCAAGGCTCAGAGTTATACATCGTGATTTGAAAGCAAGCAATATCTTGTTAGATGGCAATATGAATCCAAAAATATCGGATTTTGGCATGGCAAGAATGTTCGGAGTTGAAGATCAAACTCAAGGAAACACCAAAAGAATTGTCGGCACCTAGTAAGTTTCATCCTCTGTTCTAATTAACAATGATCATATTGAACCTGTATATAGATATTTGACTCTTAGACTCATATTCAATCGTTTTGGTCATGCAATTAGTGGTTACATGGCCCCAGAATATGCTATGGAGGGACTGTATTCCGTAAAATCAGATGTCTTCAGCTTCGGAGTAGTTTTGCTTGAGATTGTAACAGGAAGAAGAAACTTTTTAGGCTTTCATCCCACAGAATGTGCACCTACTCTTATAGGCTATGTAAGGTTAAATCATACAAAAGTTTCTCAAACTAGCTAATACATGTATGTAACTATCAATGTAAGAGTTTTTACTTACATGCTTAAAATCTACTTATTGCAGGCTTGGCAATTATGGAACGAAACAAAAGAGTTGGAGTTGATGGATCCGTTGTTGAAAGATTCATGCAGTTCAAATGAATTTTTGAGATACCTCCATATTGGATTATTGTGTGTTCAAGAAGATGCGAACAACAGGCCAACCATATTGGATTATTGTGTTACGTTCTGGTGCGTCTCTCCTCAGTAATACTATTGCTGTTGAGGATGCTTTTAAAGTGCTTTTGACACTTATCTCTCGGATTATGGTAGCGCTCTCTGTAGCTGTGATGGCGTATCCATCACCATCTTCCTCTCGGTTCTTTGGTTTCTGTGACTTCTCTGGTGGTTTTGGTCTTGCGTTGGGTGCCTTGCCAATTGGTTATTGGGGGTGCGGCTTTTCTCAGCTTCCTGTTTTACGGCTTTTCTTTTTGTTTCTTGGCGTTTGTTGTTCGTTTTAATTTGACTGGGTAAGAAGCTTGGTTCTAGCCTTGAACTGAAGTCTAGCTGCTTCTACCTGGTTCGTGTATTTCCGGCTCAGTATGCAATCTATCCCGTTTTGGTTTCTTTGAAACCAAACATTGACCAAAAAAAAAAAAAAGATGCGAACAACAGGCCAACCATGTCATCGATTGTTCGAATGTTAAACGGTGAAGCTATTAGTCTTCCCCGACCTGAGAGACCAGCCTTCTTTACAGGAAGATCTATTGAACAGCATGATCAAGAAAATGCTCCAAATTGCTCAACCAATAAGTTGACAATTTCTATTGATGTTCCCCGTTGAGACAGATGACAATTTTCTAAATATAATCTTTACAATATGAAGTTGGCCTTTGATAAATTACATGGTGGAATCTTTCATCTAATTCCCTTTTGGCACTTCCGTCTCCATCGTCTTATTTTATATGCGCGTCAACACACGGAAACATTAAAACTAGTTTGACTTTAGAGTCGTGGACTCGTGGTGGTGACTTTTCTTCTGTTAATTTATTCATGAAATTTGGATTTGGTAAAACTTTCTACTTGTAATTTTCTTGCGAATAATGATAGGTAAGAATAATCTGTTTCCCCAGACAAAACAGGCCTCACTCTTCTTTCCCCATTTTCGTCTGTTTCAAACTTTTTGTTTTTTGTCTTTTATTTCATTGTCTCTTCTTCCTTATCTTTTTCTATGATTTTGATGATAAAAGACAACGACCACTGAGATAACATATCTCGCAACTTCATCAACATCCCATGAATAATCTGATACTTGTTTCGATTCTCTCCGACATATTTGTTGTTACTCTGCTCAGCTTTCCCAGCCCAGCTGAAGCTGTTTATCTATACCATATCTGCCCAAACACCACCACTTTCACCCCAAACTCCACCTTCCAGTCCAACCTCAACCGCCTCCTCTCCACCCTCTCCTCCAACGCCACCCGCCCCTCTGGCTTCTACAACGCCACCACCTCCTCCCGAACCCCAAACGACCCCATCTACGGCCTCTTCCTCTGCAGCGGCGATGTAGGATTTGGTACCTTCTACTACTGATCACCATGATCAAGTAATCGCACCCCAAACGACACCGTCTACGGCCTCTTCCGCTGCCGCGGTGACGTCGCCGCCACCGACACTTGCAAATCCTGTGTCTCGACCGCAACCTCCGAGGCCGTCCAGCGCTGTCCCACAGAGAAACAGGTTGTGATCTGGTACGACGACTGCATGCTACGCTACTCCAACGAGTCCTTCTTTTCCACCGCCGCCGAGTCTCCTGCCGTTTACATGTCGAACACACAGAACGCCACGGAACCGACCCGCTTCAACCAGGTCCTGGCCACCTGCATGAACGAGGTGGCCACCGAGGCTTCCACTGACGCCGACAAGTTCGCGACGAGTCAGGCCAATGTTAGTGGGTTCATTTCGATTTACAGCCTGGGGCAGTGCACGCAGGACCTGTCCGCAGCGGATTGCAACCAGTGTCTCAGGGGAGCCATAGCCCAATTTCCGAGTTGTTGCAATGGAAAGATCGGGGGACGAGTTTTCAATCCGAGTTGTTACGTTGGGTACGAAGTCTACCCTTTCTACCTACAGAACTCCACGTCAGCACCTCAGCCTTCACCGGGGGTTCTTTCTCCTCCTCCTCCTCCTCCGCCGCCGCCTAAAGGTAAAGTGACCAGCTTTTCAATTCAAATTATGTCTTAAAATTGTCGGGGAGAATAGGTATCTATGCTAACTATGGGGAATATGGTTTTGGGCTGTGGCTGTGCATTTTGCTAGTTTCTTCATATTTAGTTTCATCAGTCTAAGATTGCCATTGTTTATGATGCAGGAAAAAGCAAAATCTCAAAGCTTACAATTGTTGCCATTGTTGCCCCAATTGCCGTCTCAGTGCTACTTTTTATTGCGGGCTGCTGTTTCATTACTAGGAGAGCAAGAAAGAAGCGCAGTGCAGCAGCTGAGGAACCAAGCGGTAAGAATATATATATCTGAAATGAATTGAAATTTGTCATACAAATCAAAAGCATACTTTTGTTTCGTCATCTTTATACATGAATGCTTTTCTCGTTTGGTTGTGTAGGTGCGACTGACATTAGTTCTGTAGAGTCTTTGCAATTTGATTTTAGTACAATTGAAGCGGCCACGAACAATTTCTCAGATGATAATAAGTTAGGGGAAGGTGGATTTGGTCAAGTTTACAAGGTATGTATGTATATCAACGTTTCTGCATCGGAAAATCTAAAGTCTTAATAGTTTGAGAACCTGAGGAGGTTTTAATCAATACTGGGAATTGTAAAATTTGTGCAAGAATGTACATTCCATCGATTGATTGATTAAAGGTTGTTCTCAGGGTATACTTTCAAATGGTCAAGAAGTAGCTGTGAAGAGGCTTTCAAGGAACTCTGGCCAAGGTGCAGAGGAATTTAAGAACGAGATGGTATTGGTAGCTAAGCTTCAACACAGAAATCTGGTCAGGCTATATGGATTTTGCTTGGAAGGAGAAGAAAAGATACTTGTTTATGAATATGTCTCCAACAAAAGCCTTGACTATTTTCTATTTGGTTTGTGCCCTGAAACATCTGATAGTCTTTTCTACTGCAAAAGCAATGTTACTTCAACATGTATTTGAATCTGTTTCCTTGATGATAACTTGATTGATCAATTTTGATGATTTTCAGACCCTGAGAAACAAGGACAATTGGATTGGGCAAGACGTTACAAGATTATTGCAGGGATTGCTCGAGGAATCATGTATCTACACGAAGATTCCGGACTTAGAATTATACATCGTGATCTCAAGGCCAGCAATATATTGTTAGATGGGGAGATGCATCCAAAAATATCTGATTTTGGCATGGCCAGGATTTTTGGGGTTGATCAAACTCAAGCAAACACAAGTAGAATTGTTGGAACATAGTAAGTTCTCTCATTCATCTTTTCTATTCTCATGACCACTTTTGTTCTGCATTATCTGGATTGATGAATTTGAGAAATGGTCCCATCTGCACTCAACAGAAAGTCCACTTTGACCCTTGATAATATCAGTATGAACTCAGACAGGGATGATGTAATTTTTGAATCATACTTCATGTTCTATAAATAATGAAAGCCACTTAGTCTTACACGAAATTGAATGGATTAAATTATTGACATGAATATGATAAGTTTACTCCTTAAATTTTGCTACAATTTCTATACTGATGGATGGTTGTGCTTCTTGCAGTGGCTATATGTCTCCAGAGTATGCAATGCATGGACAATTTTCTGTCAAGTCCGATCTATATAGTTTCGGTGTTTTACTGCTAGAAATCATAAGTGGCAAGAAGAATAGTTATTTCTTTCAAACTGATGCAGCTGAAGACCTCATGAGCCATGTGAGCTTAAACTGAAAAAAATGTAGTTTTGTTCTTCTGCACTAACACCACCACAACATAAATAAAACTGTTCAATTTATGCAGGCTTGGAAACTATGGAGAGACGGGATGCCTTTGGAATTGTTGGATCCAAGTATGAGAGATTCTTATTCCAGGAGTGAAGTTATAAGGTGTATACATATCGGCTTACTTTGTGTTCAGGAAGATCCAGCGGACAGACCTACAATGCAATCCGTAGTTCTCATGCTTAATAGCTACTCTGTGACTCTGCCATTACCTGAACAGCCAGCATTTTTCCTTCGAAGTCGAACGGAGGGGAACATGCCAAAGATAACTTTGGAGTCTGATCTATCTATCAGTAAGTCCACTCCATCCGTAGATGAAGCATCTATCACTGCAGTATACCCTAGATAACGTGAATGAACAAGATGTTATATCTTGCATTATCTGTTTATATTTGTAATCACAAATACGAAACTTGTACTCTTGGTTTCATACAACTGTTGTTAGGATTGAAAACATCAAATGGTATTTCTGTCTTGTGAGTTTCAATATCTTTGATTTTGATTTTTGAGCATAGATTTATCATCCAGATAACGTGATTGACAAGGTTTTAAGTCCTCACATCTGTATCTTGGAAAGATCTCTCCTTTGTGGGTCAATACCTAATAAATTTACAACCGGCTTAATTAGGTAGTTGTGCTTGTGGTCACATCACTCTCTTGTATTGATGAGAGTTATGGATAGGATACCATCTTCTTTTCTGGTCATCTTGGTTGGTTGTATACAACCGTACTCTTGTATTATTGCAGACTAAAAGTCTCAAAACCCTCTGTAGGTGTAAATATTGAAAAACTGAGGAAAAAGAAAACACCTCTAAACCCAAGTCTCGACCCCCTTTGTTGACTGTCAATTTATAATTACATCACACTGATGATGAAGCGGACACCTCTAAAAATTATGACTTTTAGATAAGCTTTTTAATTTCCACATGATTCAACTCTAAGGGACATAAGAAATTGGCTTTAGAAATAGAAACAGGGACTGGGCTGATCAGTGATCAAAAGATCATGAAAACCAGAATGTCTTCCGTGCATAATCTGATGCTTGTTTCCATTCTCTCCTCCGTATTTGTTATTTGTTGTTACTCTGCTCAGCTTTCCCAGCCCAGCCGAAGCTGATTATCTGTACAATGTCTGCCCAAATTGGGATCTAACCACCCCAATTGGTGCATATTGCTCTCAAATATCTGGAAAATTTATCATCAAATTCGCGTTGAGTCTGCAGATTAACATGAATGGATCCCTAACCAAATTGGGATAATTATATCCTATCAGCTTGGCCTCCCCCGCATGAGAAAAATTCCTGCTTATATGCTGCTGGCATGGGCAAAAAGTGACACTATGAAGTTGGCCTGTGATAAAATGTTAGAAAAGATTACATTTCTTTTCTGGGTATACGTAGCTGTGGCTGTTGTGAATTAAGACCAATTCACTCCCCTTTAGACCTTGTTGTTGATGGACTTTGGACAAGACTCAATGATGGATGAGTCTTACACACACACACAGAAAATAACCAAGCACAAATGACACAAGTGTTTATAGAGGTTCAGCAAATTTTTGCCTACATCCTCTTGGTGATCCCCTTGAGAAATTTCATTAGTGAAGATAGGTTACAACTTTGGTTTACAACTGAAAAAAAACCCCCTTAGAACACTACCCTCACAATCTGTTTCTCTCTCACCCTTGCTCAACACCTTGATACACTTGAGAACTCTCTCTTCTTTTTGACTCACTAGTTTCCAGCTACTTTGCCTCACATTGATTTCTTGCTTCCTCTCTATCTCAAATACACAACCCCTTGCACTTGAGAAAAGCCTCATCACATCTTCCCACGTTCTGCCCTTGTTTTACTGAAGTAGATCACACCTTGGGCAGGCAAAGGGCTTGATAATGACAGCTACAAGTTCAGCTACCCAACAAAGGTAGGAACACCTTGAAACAAGCCAACATCTTTCCTTAATTTGCTCTCCTTGCTTCCCCAGCAACTTGCCACCTTTCATTTAAGTCAGAAGTGACTTAAAATATCCTTGCAAGTGGATAGAAAACGATAGCACACTAAAGAAATTGTTGAGAAGCAGTGCAAACTCGAAACAGCATGTGTCGAGTGACCGGTCGCTGGTAGCTTGCGACCGGTCGCAAGAAGATTTCGCTCCAGACCTCGACTCTGCCTGAAAACTACCGGTCGCAAATAGCTGGCGACCGGTCGCGAGTCGACTTAGCTCCAGACTTCGACTCTGCCTGAAAACGACCGGTCGCAAATGTCATGCGACCGGTCGCTGGTCCAAGATTTAGTATCCTTTATGCGAGCCAATTTTCCAACAGTGGCAACGACTTATCATCCTACAGCGAAGCGGTCCCATGCATTAGGAACGTGATTGACTAGGCTTTAAGTCTTCACACCAATGTCTTGGAAAAGGTTTTTCTCATTTGTGGGTCTGTCTGGGTTGAATCCTTCATGGTTTTGTGGTTACCTACTCCCCTTAAATTCTGGCTCACAAGGCACTAATTCAGTCTATACGAAATTGACAACCGGCTTAATTAGGTAGTTGTGGTCACATCACTGTCCTGCATTGATGACTGGAGTTATGGATTATTTTTCTGGCCACCATTGCGACGGCAACATGAAGTGGTGGCAGGAAGGAATGGGGTCAGCTCAGCTCAGCTGGTTATATGAATCAATCAATGTGTGAGTGTAATATAACAACGACTCTTGCCATATTCTCGGTCGGTTGTATAAAACCATACTCTTCTATTATATCAAGATGTAAAATATTGGAAAATTATTGAGGAAAAAGAAAAGGCAAGAACACAGTTGGGCTGAAAATTCTACCCCCTCCGTCTCCAATTCATCAATGACTTTTCAATAACTTTACTTTCTACATGATTCAACATCACAGGGGCTTCTTCACACCTTCCTTCAATAAAGGACAAAATTTGACTTCGACCTTAACACCCCTGTCAATTTATGAGTACATCACAATGCTGACCAGAGCAAACACGCCATACTCAGCCTAAAGGCATTTTAGCTCACCTAAACCCGTCTTATGTTTGTAGAAGGAAGTGATCGTGATCATCAAGAAGAGGTTATCGATTTGATTATCAAAATGCCTTCCTTCAATCTCAGTGTGTTGATGACCCTTGTGCTTGGCTTGCTTAGCCTTAGCAGTTTGAGTGAAGCTGAATACCGCTACCACGTCTGTTCTAACACAACCAGTTTCACTCCCAACAGCACCTACGAATTCAATCTTAAGCTCCTCCTCTCTTCTCTCACCTCCAACGCCACCCGTGAACTCGGTTTCTACAACACCACTGCCGGCTCCCAAGATCCCAACGCTGCAGTTTACGGTTCCTTTCTATGCCGTGCTGATCTCACATCCGATGCATGCCAAGATTGTGTAGCCACCGCAGCCAGAGAAACGGTCAAAGAGTACTGCCCCTTAAGAAAAGTCACTATAATTTGGTACGATGATTGCATGTTACGCTACTCAAACATGTCTTTTTTCGGCAATATGGATAAAGCCCCAAGTGTTTATTTGTGGAACGTGGGAAACATAACTGATCCAAACCGGTTTAATCAGGTGCTGGTGGATACAATCACTGGCTTGGTGTCTGTGGCAGCAAATGCGGCCTCCGGTGCTAAAAAGTTTGCGACAAAAGAAGCAAACATTACAGGGTTTCAGGAGTTGTACATCCTTGTGCAGTGCACGCCGGACCTGTCAAGCACCGCCTGTCATTGGTGTCTTCTTGGAGCTATTACACTTCTTCCGGATTGTTGTGAATGGAAGCAAGGGGGAAGAGTTTTGTATCCTAGTTGTAATGTTAGATATGAAATGTATCCATTTTATACGATAGTTGCTGCCCCTCCTCTACCACTGCTTCTTCCTCCTCCACCTCCGGCAAGGTCTCAAGGTAAACTTGGAATTTACCCAAACATTTCGGGGTCTAAATACATACTCACCAGTAGTAGTCAATTTGTCATTTGGTTTTGTTTTTCTTAAGTCTGGTAATAAAAGAATTTTCTTTTCTTTTTCTTTTTTGTGCAAAAATAAAAGAATTTTCTTAGTAGTACAAGTTATGACAGTAAAAGAATATAATTGTTCATACAGGAGGAAGAAGCAGATTTTCTCCTTCCATAATCATTGTCACCAGTATTCTTGCTCTTGTTGCCGTCTCTGTGTTACTTGTAGCTTTCTACTGCTTCGCACGGAGAACATCAGTAAGAGACGAGTACAATACTGCCCCAAGTCAAGAAAATGGTAGAAATGAAATGAAATATATATTGTCCTGAAATCCAAAACAATATATTCCTTTTTTTTTCACCAAGTTTTTTTACTCCCTTGATCTGTGGTACTTGTAGCTTTCTATTGCTTCGCACGCAGAAGATCAGTAAGAGACGAGTACAGTAACAGTACTGCCCCAAGTCAAGAAAACGGTAAAACCAAATTAAATATCTGAAATCCAAAGCAATATGTTTTCCTTATTTTTTCACTACGTTTTTCTACTACCTTACCTTGCGTGTAATATTTTTAGAAACTCATTATTTTGGATTTTGCTTAGTTGGGAATGATACAAACAGTGTCGAGTCCTTGCAATTTGACTTGGGAACTATTGAAACTGCCACCAGCAAGTTTTCTGACAATAACAAGTTAGGTGAAGGCGGATTTGGTGTCGTCTTCAAGGTATGAAAATATGAATTATATCCTCATTTTGTCTTGGAAATTCTTGATTCTTAATATACGGTGCTCACAGTTAGTTCAATTTGTACGTACAACTTTAAACTTAATTAATATGAGTGGATGAAGCACCTCATATACCTTGTCAGGGAACACTTGCTAATGGACATGAAATAGCAGTGAAGAGGTTGTCAAAGAGCTCCAAACAAGGTGTACAAGAATTTAAGAATGAGGTTGCATTGGTAGCCAAACTTCAGCACAGAAATCTTGTCAGGCTTCTGGGATTTTGTTTGGAAGGAGAAGAAACCATACTTGTCTATGAATATGTGCCAAACAAAAGTCTTGACTATTTTCTTTTTGGTACAAGTACGTGTACATCATTTTGAAAACCCTTTGCAATTTCTAACTTGAGTACAATAATCAAACTTTTATTTACTTGTGAGTACAGAATCCGAAAAACGAGAACAGCTAGATTGGTCAAGCCGTTGCATGATAACAGAAGGAATCGCTCGAGGAATTCTATATCTTCATGAAGATTCAAGGCTTAGAGTTATACATCGTGACTTGAAAGCGAGCAATATCTTGTTAGATGGCAATATGAATCCAAAAATATCAGATTTTGGCATGGCAAGAATGTTTGGAGTTGAAGATCAAACTCAAGGAAACACCAAAAGAATTGTTGGCACCTAGTAAAGTTCCATCATCTATATAACTAATTAATAATCTTAAATCTATATTTCGGCTTTAACCCACATGTCAATTATTTTGGCCTTGCAATTAGCGGTTACATGGCTCCAGAATATGCTATGGAGGGATTGTATTCGGTAAAATCGGATGTCTTTAGCTTCGGAATACTTTTGCTTGAGATCATAACAGGGAGAAGGAACTTTTTAGGCTTTCATCCAACAAATCATGCACCTACTCTTATAGGCTATGTAAGGTCTTTATTTGGGTTAAATTATACAAAAAGTTTCTCAAAAACTAATTAATGTAGCTATCAATTTAAGAGTAGTACTTACATCTTTGAAGGGTATTAATTGCAGGCTTGGCAGTTATGGAACGAAACGAAAGGGTTGGAGTTGATGGATCCTTTGTTGAAGGACTCATGCAGTCCAAATGAATTTTTGAGAAACATTCATATTGGATTATTGTGTGTTCAAGAAGATGCAAACAAGAGGCCAACTATGTCATCGGTTGTTCTAATGTTAAAAAGTGAAACCATTAGTCTATCCAGACCTGAGAAACCAGCCTTCTTTACAGGAAGATCTACTGATCACCATGATCAAGAAAACGCTCATAATTGCTCAGCCAATGGTTTGACGATTTCTAATGACTTGCCCCGTTGAGGGAGATGAAAATTAAGTAAAGATCATTGTATTCCATTAATTAAAGGCTTATGTTGCACACAGAGACTCTGACGATGCTGTAAGCTTTATATATTCTGTTTAACACATGTCATTTTATTGAGAAAATGCTAATTATGCACTCGCCCTAAATCTTAATTTCAATCACGCTGAGATCAACTAGTTTCTTAGTACTTAATACGTTTCCTTTGGAGTTGAATTTGCTATCCAGTTTGTGATCTAACTACTCCATTTGGTGCATATCACTCTAAAGTAACTGGAAAATTTATCATAAATTCGCATCAAGTCTGCAGATTAACATGAATGGATACCTAACCAAATTGGGATAATTATATATATCAGCTATATAGGCCTTCCCGCTTCAGAAAAATTAAGCTTATATGCTGACATGAGCAAAAAGTGACACTATGAAGTTGTCCTGTGATAAAATAAAATGGTAGAAAAGATTACATTTCTTTTCTACTGATGACAATCAAATAAAATGGTATACGTAGGTGTGGCTGGGATTACTGAGTTTCAATATCTTTACTTTGATTTTTTAGCAACGAGTTATCATCCTACTGCATAGTATCAGGTGAAAATCAAAGAGAAACCTTTTCCACATAACGTGATTGACAAGGTTCAGTCTTCACACCAATGTCTTGAAAAAGGTTTTCTCATTTGTGGGTCTGGGTTGAATCTTCTTCATGGGTTTGTTTGTGGTTACCCACGCCCTCTAAATTGACAACCGGCTTAATTAGGTAGGTAGTTGTGGTCACATCACTGTCCTGTATTGATGACTGGAGTTATGGATATATCTTCTTTTCTTTTTCTGGTCATCTTCGTCTCTACGTACGAGATAGTATGTAAAATGAAATATGTACAATTTGTGGAACATTCTTAATAATGACGGCCACCATTGCTACGGTGACATGAGGTGGTGGCAGGAAGGAAATGGGGTCAGCACAGCTCAGCTGGTTATATGAATCAATCAATGTGTGAGTGTAATATAACAATGACTCTTCTATTAGTATCAAGATGTAAAATATTGGAAAATTATTGAGGAAAAAGGAAAGGCAAGAACACAGTTGGGCTGAAAATTCTATCCCCTCCGTCTCCAATTCATCAATGACTTTTCAATAACTTTACTTTCCACAGGGGCTTCTTCACACCTTCCTTCAATAAAGGACAAAAGTTGACTTCAACCTTAACACTCCTGTCAATTTATGAGTACAGCAAACACGCCAAACTCAGCCTAAAGGCATTTTAGCTCACCTAAACCCGTCTTGTTTACACATTGTAGAAGGCTATACTGTTGACATATTCTACTTGTAGAGTATAGCCGGCCGGCTGTACTGTTGAAATATTCTTTTGTAGTAATTAAGTAATATCTTATCATTTTTTAGTTACTTTCATTTGTAATTATGTTTTAATTATTATTTCTTTAGTGAATACTTAGTATTAAATATTTTAATTTACTTCATAAATTATATCACTTAATAAATAGTAATTAATTTTTTTGATTAATAAAATATTTAAATACTAATGATTCACTAACTAAATAATAATTAAAACATAACTACTAATTAAGTAATTAAAAAAGAGAAATCCATATTCTGCTATTTAACTGTATAGCCGTGCGGCTATACTTCTATTTACCGAGTATAGCCGATCGGCTATACTGTTGAAACTTTCTATTGAAAGGGGATAGCCGGCTATGCTTTTGAAACTTTCTATTTAAAAGGTATAGCCGCCCGGCTATACGGTTGAATATTCTACTTGTAGAGTATAGCCGCACGGCTATACTTGTGAAATATTCTTCTTAAAGTTGAAGCTGTACAACTAGTAAGAGTTAGGATTTAAAAGGGCAAGTAAAGTGGGTTAAATTCGTGGTTGACCCATAGCTTTGCATATGTTTGCGATGAAGCCTAGGCTGACTTAGATTTAAAATTAAAATGGCAGAGCTCAAATTAAATTTTTTTTTGTGGTAAATATCACGAGGTGTCCTCACACCCGAAGGGTGGGATTAATCCCTGTTGGGGGTTCGAATTGCCGCTAGCCACAAAGTGCTTCCAACGGGTTTCAAACCCCTGCCATTGAGGCACCAGGTAGCTCGCTAACTGGAGGTGGCAGTTTGCCAACCGCACCACACCTTGTGGTTAACTGATTTTGACTTTCATGATGGTGATGATGACACATTGCTTAGGCTTTACTTAACTTTTGCTTATTTGTGTTCATGGGATTTTGATTGTTTTTTTTTTTTTTTTTTTTT